TACATTCAGTATTAGTGTACCGTGCCAGTAACCTACCTGGCAACTAGGATGTAAAACTCATTTATAGTACATGAGGGGCGGGGGAATAACAGAAAACCTGCTTAAAGCACTATAATAGCTTATTTCCGAGCCGTCCGGGGTGTACCCAGCCTCTCGCCCAGTGACCACTGGAGATGGACGCCAGTGACCCTGTGAAGATTAGTGGGTATAGATGATTGATGGATTTTATGCTTGATTTTTGTCTGCATTCAAAGATGTTGATATCAGTCGGTCATGAGATGGTTTCTATCTTATCTTGGGTTGATTTGACAAAATGTCAGAGTGACCCAACACCAGAACAAAGATTAAGCCTCCAAACTATTTTATCAGACACGTGGAGGATAAAGAGGGTGAGTTGACCTCTAATCTAAGCCATGTCTTTGTCTTCAAGATACAATAGGTGTGTGGGTCTGTATAAACATTTTATACCTCTGGCGCTGTGGTTTTTGCCCTTATTTTACTTCCCAGTTACATGAGGCCACTTTCAGCTTTTAAGGCTAACCTTACTTCTCAAATAGACTGAAGTAGGCTACTGCTAAAGCTAGCTATGAAGCAGATTTTAAATGGAGAACAAAAGAAAAATAAATAAGAAAGAAATGGGATCTAAATACTGCGGTGCCACTTGAGTCCAGTCTGAGCATCTGCTACCTTGAGACTTTTGTCCAACTGGTTATATTTTGTATTAACACAAAACTGCAAGTTTATAACACTTGGAATATATTAGCCAACAATTACTGCAGTCCAACCGGTCATTTGCATTATGAATATTGCATATACTGTTATTGTGATGGCGAAATCTTCGATGTATTGTGCATCCTTAATCCAGTTTTTGGAAGTCTTTAACATGTCGCTACAAAATAAAATTTCAGAGAACAGTCCATTTTAAAATCAAGACAAACGACCAGAGTTAACACAAAGTGCTATTGGCATTAACTGTAAACATTAATATATCTGTTACTTTAACTGTAAAATTTCGAGCTTGTTTTATTAGAGGGTGAAAGCTAAATAACTATCAACTGTCAGATTTCTCTGACTTAACTTGTGCTAAAAACACCTCAACGGAACAAAAATCAGCTAAATTTGAGCACTTTTCTTGATGTGGCAGCTCCGTAAAAACATCAGATTTTTGAAAATCCTTTTTGTTTTCAGTTGGCCAGACTCTAGTTGAGACCAATCTTCTCCAAATCAGAAAGATAGGGCTGAGTTTTCAGTTGTAGAGTCGATTTACATGTGGTATCAGAAGCAAACTTGCAAAGAAAAGTGCAGCAGGCTTCCTTCAGCCTTTGCTATTATTGTAGGTCATTTTTAGAAGCAGTTTCAAAATACTGCAGAGGAGACATTTATGTATGAAATATGACTTTCTTTGTAATTATGTGTGGAAAACAAATGTTGGGCATTTTGAAGTATTTGAAGAGCTCTGTATGGATCATTGATGAAACTCCCATCTCTGTGGTAAAAAAAAAAAATGATGCTGTAAAAGTGCTTTTTAGCTTCTGAAGGTTTTCAAGCAGTATGTTATTGTGTCCCTTAAACTGCATCAAATCCAACTGGTGTCAGACTTAATGGGATAATTCGTTTCTGTGCATTGATTTGGGCAGCAAGCGGACCCCGAATATTTCCTTTCCCGTCACAGGAGTGGGGTTTTTCGCTGCTCTGCCACCAGGACAGCATAATGGCCTCCTCACTAGCACATGCTGTGTCATCAGTTTCAGCAGGCAGATGGTCTGGCCCTTTACTTTTGCTGACTAGTCATCCATAGTTCTCGCCATGTTTCTCCTAATTACACCACCTTGTATTCTGTGCCGCCAATAACTTGCCAGATCGTGTCATATTTAACACAAGCGGACAATTATTACAGCTGTATGCAGGCATAGTAGCGCCAGGTTTAATTTGTGGTCAAGATTACTAATGATGGCAAAATAACATCTAGAAAGCTGACTGCAGTTCTTATTAATGCTGTAAATGTGTGTACTCCTGGCTGATTTGAGAGCAGTTTGGGAAAGATGGCATAAAAGTAAAAAAAAAAAAAAACAATTAACCTTATTGCCAATGAAGTCAAAACAGATCTACTATATGTCTGCAGATATTATTCCCATGTCTTCCACATAATAATGAATGAGTTGTGATGTTGAACATTTTTTCTCTTTCTACGACTTCATATCTTTTATCTTTCTAACTTTATTTAGAAAGCCAGCCTGCAAGCGGTAAAAATGAGACATCATCCATGAATATCCTTGAAACATAGATTCATGCATCTTTGGCTCCCCCTTGTGGATTGTTAATGCAGGCTAAATTTAACGCCAACTTGACTTTTAATAGTAAACATTTTTCATTCTAAGCTTGTTACGAAAAGAAAAGCTGATGATGGGCACCTTAAAAATAAGCTGATAAAATCTACTTTCCACATTTCTCTTTTTTTAAATGAAGATATTTTTGTCTGAGTTTGATCATTTTGTACTTTCAAAAACTGAAGATGAGGACCTAAAGAACTGTTGCTCTGAGTTGAACATCATAAACGAGTGTTTTAAGACAAAGAAAACATGTTTTCTCCCTTCAGTACTAAGTGCTCTGTTGTTCATGTATCGTTTTTAGTTTGGAGATGCTGTATTTGGGTGGAAACCTCATCTCAGACATTCCTCCTGAACTGGCACACCTGCCCTACCTCACCTACCTGGTGCTATGTGACAACCGCATCCAAAGTGTCCCTCCGCAGCTCGCCAGGTATTACCAGCAGATCTTAACAGCTTCCACCTAATCTATGCTTAAGACAGTGGTTCCCAAACTTTTCCTTCTGAGCCCCCCACCCCAGTGGTTTCCAAAAATGTTCTTGACCCCCCCCCTATGGATTACAAATGGCTGTCTGGTTGAACGACGCTGTGGGGGGACGGGGGGGATTCTTAGAGACAGGGAGTCTCTAAAAACAGGTGGGGGGGAATCGACTTTTTTGGGGGCAAAATTAATGTACGTAGCTGAAAACAGACAACATCGGTACCTGCCTACATGCTACTTGTTAAGCTTAAGGTTCTGTATTGATATTAGCTAGCTAGTCATCTTTTAGCTAACATTACCTGCATCCAACAGCTTCACTCAACTCAGTCGGTTAGTTTGGAGGGGAAAACTGTGAAAAGTTCTTTGCGTTTTGCTGGTTTGCTGCCGTGATTCTAACACAAACCTACGTAGCTCCGCACTGCAGCAGCAGGTCTCCTTCACAGGTGTAAACCCAGCGCGAGCGTCGTAGCACTCATGTTGCGTTTAAAGGCGGCTCGGAAAAACAGGTTACATGTTAACAACGGATTAAACAGTTTTAACTGCTGATAAAAGTGACAGAGGACACAGATATGGAAAGTGTGGAAGCCCCTACTGTATCAAATTGACATAGGAATAACAGAGAGTTGGCCATTCTAAGGTAAAAACCCAGCGCATACAGCGTTCATGTTTTTTTTTTTGTTTTTTTTTCCATCCAGACGGCTTCCCGCCTCCCCTTGCAATGGCCCGGCGCCCCCCCTAGGGGGCGCACCCCACAGTTTGGGAACCTCTGGCTTAAGAAAGGCTTTATCTGCTATGTACACCTGTTACAGTGGTTGAACTTTGCAAATGAAATTTCATGCTGTCTTTGTTTTTCCAGGCTCCACTCTCTACGATCTTTAAGTCTCCACAACAACCTGCTCACCTACCTGCCTAGAGAGATCCTCAGCCTGGTGCACCTGCAGGAACTCAGTCTTAGAGGCAACCCTCTTGTGGTGCGCTTTGTCAAAGAGATGATGTATGACCCTCCTTCGCTGCTGGAGCTAGCAGGGCGTACCATTAAAAGCAGAAATATTCCCTACTCTCCATACGACATGCCTTCCAACCTGGTGCGCTACTTGGACCTTGCCAGCAAGTGCCCCAATCCCAAATGTGCTGGTATGATGATGCTTTTAATATTTTGTGTCAGAATCAGCAAAGTATTTGGCTTTCCAAACATTTTCCCTCTTCCATTTTCTAAAGAGTAACAATCTAATAATAGTTAATGAATTTAGTAAATGTTACAAATGTCTATTTATTTTAATTGCCTTCTTTAATTTGCCTCATCAGAAGTTAAGAATTTACTCATCAGTATTTTGGACTTGGACTCACTGATTGAATGCTCACTAATTTCAAAAATGTCAAAGACTTTTTTTCACAGATTTAGACTCGTATCTATAAATTGAGGTTGAACTGAACCTGGGATTCTTTTTTGCTACAAATGTACACATTTTTATGAACAAATCCTGAGAAGTTATTGAAGCCAATTTCAGCATCAGTTTGTTTTATGATTTCTGGTGCTTACAGATGAGACGCAATGATAATTCGAACAAATGAGGGTTAATATGTTGTACTCAAATGTCTAGAACATTCTAAAACCTGCAGAAAAACATTAACTCTAAAAATTAAAGACAAAACGGAAACCTTGAACTGCAGAGCGATGATGCACTGTGTACTCTAGCGTGTCGTATATTTGACTTCATTGTTGTTTCTCCCCAGGTGTTTACTTTGATTCATGCGTGCGACAGATCAAATTCGTTGACTTCTGTGGAAAGTACCGGCTGCCCCTCATGCACTACCTGTGCTCCCCAGAGTGCACATCTCCCTGCAGCTCCAACCCTCAGAGCGACGCAGAGTCTGAGGAGGAGAACAGCGTCCCTGCAGACCGCCTCCAAAGGGTCCTGCTGGGATAATCCCACACCGAGAATACTGAAGGGAAAAAAATCGCAGAGCTTGCCTCAAACTTTGCCGCACATACATCCATCAACCCTCTCCACACACACACACACACGCACACGCACAGTAAAGGTTTTACATTCAGCTGCTTATACGCACAGGATATTAGTCATTTCTGAGACTGGGAAGCTTCAATTCTTGGATTTGGTCTGTTTCATCTCACCAGATTAACATTTGACTAAAAGAAGGAGGCTCCGGGTCCCAACCTCATGAACCTATTTTCCTGTGTTTGAACACAGGGGGGCGCTAACATTTCTCATAGGACTATAAAGACTGAAGGACTGAATTTGTTGCAACCTTTTTAGTAAATATGTCACAATTTGTATTTGAAGAATGGATCTGAATCTTTTCTTGTAGGAGCTGCAGTTGATCTCCATTTCTGCGACCAAATGATCAACATGTTCGGTCAGGACGTATTTACCAAGTTCTGGCACTAAAGTACGGAAGATGACCTTTATAAACCTAATGGTGTCCTACCTGTTTTTAAGCTCTTTGCAATTTTTTCTTTTTTTTTTTTTTAGCAATGCTATCTTTTCATACACCGTGTTTTGGAAGCACAGAGGCTTAGTTTTATTATATTAACACAGTCGTACAGTAGTGTGCTTGTACAGGCTTACTTACAGGAAGTGGACGTGGGGTGGACCAGGGAAAACTATGTGAGCACGGAAACAATAGCTATTGAGGAGTTTCAGCCTTCATGGGCGGTTGGCTTTCTCTTGTTCGACACATTCGGACACATCTCATTGTTTTTGTTTTATGTCAGATGATGGTCTTCTGTTTACAATTTTTTTCTAAAAGCTTTGTGTTGAGAAATCTTTTTTTTTATCTCGCACGCTTTCTTTTTTTTTATTCTTTATTTTTAAAAACTAAAAACAGAAGAACTTTGTTACAACCGCACCAATATTTTTAATAATGTGCCTTATTAATGCTGATTTCTAACAAGTAATCCGAGAAATAAAAGCTGTGACTACATATTCACCCTAAAATGTGATGGATCTAATATCGATTGGTATTATGAACATGAATTAACCAGTGAAAAACATTTTGTAACGAAACGAGCTTTTATAAAAGCATTCTGTAATGTCAAACTATCACAATTTAAATGTCCTTCAGAATCTCTTGACCTATAGAGTGTATGTGGGTTTACTCCTAACATGATGTAAGTGAACAGAAAGGAATAAAACAGTTTATTGCCTTATGTTGCTAATGGATTTTGATTCAGTCTGACTGTGATTATTTTGATCTGCAGCCTGTGAAATGTGGAAAATATGTTAAATTTTCCGTTTAAAGATTATAATGCATCAGATTTATTTTCTTGTCACTTTCTGTAGATGGTTAAGCCCAATTGTTTCTTTTCAAATATCTTATCACATACATTCTCAAAATCTATCCAACTTTTTATTTCGGACTTCTTTCATATACAGCACATTGTGTGTTGTTTTCTTAAAATAAATTAGGAAAATGTTCTACTTTCTACTTGCCATTTTTTTTAAATAAAGGAACTATCAAAATCTCTAGAATTAGAGTTGAAGTGTTTAAGATAAGATGAGCCTAGTTTCCTTCATTTAAAACTAAATGAGAATATCCACCAACTTATCTTCAAACAAGGCCGTGTTCATTGGTGCTGAAGATGTTTCTCCGCTAATGTTCTTTAGCATCATTCCTCATGTTACCTCAAAAGGACATTGATTGACAGAATGCGAACAGACTTAAGGGGTGTTAGTAATCTTAAATAGTGTGTAAATAATGTTTTGACTGACTTTGACAAGACAGAAAAGAAAAAAACTCTGACAAATACCCAACAAGACCTGTGATGTGATTCACTCTTCAGTTGTCTGCCAGGTTGACGCATGTCAGAGCTAAGTGGTTTCTGACGGGGGGGGGATCTCAGTGTCTGAAAACTTGCTCAAGGTATTCGCTTTCACTGAGTAACAACTAGTTTTGCATCCTTTTTTCACACTAATCTCCAGCCTGCATGGCAACAACAGTAAAAGTCCCGCTGTCAACACAGTTGGATATTTTAATGAAGCCTCCAAACTCCCCAGATTCCAGTTAGACGTACAGAAGCCAGCTCACTCTTCTCTGCAGACACACAAACTCTGGGATGTTTGTTTGATTGTGTATTTTGCACGAGTTCCACCACATCTTGGCTCAAGTGATTTCATTTGTAAATGAAGTTCAGTCTCCAGTCTGACCTTTTCATTAACCCAGAACTAATAGACTCAATAACACGCTTGTTCTACCTCACACAGTCCATTAATCCCTTCAGATTTCCTGCCAACAACCAGAAACTCATTTGTTTCCTTTTCTTTGAGAGCTTTTTTTTCCCGTATCTGTCCCTGTACTCTGCTTTCATTGAATTTTCTTTTTATTTCACAGTTTCTGTTTAGCTTTAGTGGTTAAAAATGCATAATGGCTGGAGCGTTCTACTTGTTTTCAATGGTCTTTTTCCAAATCACAGCTGTGTTCTTCTGTTCTACTGTTTTTCTTCTTATCCTCAGAAAAGTCAGACACCACAGAAACATTCCCCACCATGGACATCACTTCTCTGCCCACTTGGCTTGATTTGCATGTTAAACAGGAAGACGTTGCTACAAGTGCAACCTGACATGTGAGTCAAGATGAACCGCTACGATGTGCAAGCGAAGAGAGTAATTTCACCTTCTGCTGTGGTCACATAGTAAACTAAATAATATATTATCGTCCCACTGGGAACCTGGAACTTACAGCGCTGTCAAAAAGTATGTGCACCCTTCCAGATTTCCTCTGTTTTTGTTTTTTAAACACTTGTGTATGAAATATAACTTTAGTAAGTACAAAAGTTATATTTTGTATTGTTAAATTATAAATTTACTTTGATTAATCTTTTTTTTTTTTTACTTTATTAATAAGCCACAACCAGAAATGATTATTGTCAAATTTGAAGATTCAGGATATGACTTGATTGGAACCTGTCTGGCAACATGAAGTAGGCTCAGCATGAAGCAATTCAGGAACAAATGAGGAACAGAGATGATGATGTCTCAGTCTGTGAAGAGTTGCAAAGGCATTTCTACAAACTACAGTAAGAGCCAGTTATGCAGAAATGGAAAAAAAAAAACGTAAAATGGGAGCGAATGGCCTACAAAAATTACAACAATAGCTCCATGTCAACTCACCCAGGAGGTCACAGAGGATGACTTGAGGCACTTCAGACGGTATGTGCCTCAATGTTCACAATTCAACAACATGTGAAAGCTACTGCTGACCACAAAGAACGTCTCTGTATCAGAAAATCCTGAAAGAGAATATTCAATCATCCAGTTCAAGTGCCCAGTCCCAAATCCAGTTTGGAGGCTAACGGGTTATTCATAACTGAAAACCGTCCGATGTGTCTGAATTAAAACAATTCTGCAAACAAGAGTTGGATCAAAATGCTTCCACAGTGACACAAAGTATTTCCAGTAATAAGCATGCAGTTGTTGCTCCCAGTGTGGCACAATCAGCTAATATGTTTAAGAGACCAAACATTTTGTTTTGGAAAGGTTTTTAGCCCTTAAATTTGAGAACTTAATTTTTAAGAAGTCAGATTATGTTTTCAGATTTTATTTATTTTGATAATTGGAAACTAATTAGAAAATCAGCTGCCTTCAGAGAGTGAAGAAATCTGTCAGGAGGCATACAGATACTTACTGCACCTTTAAATGCCAAGAATTTGGAAACTGCTTAATACTTGCTACATGCCTGGTGGGTGTGACCTGTCTTGACCTTGACGGTACCAATGCATACAGTATTTCAGGTGATCAGAGAGCTGCAGGGAAACTCTTTGATGTACTGATACTGTAATCCTCTTATCATCCCAAGTCAGAGGCATACCAGCTCTTATTAGCTCACTTTGCCAGTGTGCGTTGACATGCCTGCCAGACCTCACACATGACTAGCTTCAAATTCAAGCTCACTACATACGACAGCCACACACTGCAGACACCCTGACAACAATCAGGCCTTGTCCTTAAAGTTATTCTGCTAATCCTTCAGGGAGAAACTCTATACCGCAAACTGGGAGGAGGTGGTGGAGTATGGGGTGAAAAAACAACCAGGAAAAGAAAAAAAAAAAAAAGACACAGTTTAATATGTCAATTCTTGTCTATATGTGGAGCATTCGTGTCGCTGTTTTTGTGTACACCTTCACTTTGCCTGTAAAAGAGCTTTAACAGAGATATACAATAACAACAGTATTTATAATGTATAGACATTTTACTCATTTACAATAAAGACAGTCTACACACTTTGGAAAAGTAGAGGATTTAGTGGTGCTGTCCACTGATTGTCCACAAATGTAGCACGGGGCTTTTGCTGGGACTGTGTGCTTTAGTTACATTACACCAAGGTTGCGTTTTCCAAAAGGCTACTGGTAAGCATGGGAGAGGATCTGTGATGCTTTGGGATTTTTTTTTTCTCTTTCAAGAAAAAATACTATAAGTACAGCAAGGCTGGAAATAGGGAAATTAACAATAAGAGTTACAATACATGTGGCTCATACAGGTTTTCCTTGTGTGTGCTATTTTTGGACACTGAAGTTAAAAGCTGGATGTTTTTCTCTGTGCGAGAATGTATTTCTGGCAAAAAGTCATTTTAATTTAATTAATGAGGGCTGATGAAGTGAGTGGAAGAGGGATAACTTTACATACACATTCTCTGTTTACAATGTGCAAACTTAGATGTTGATGATGAAGGTGAAATGTATAACACTGATGCCTTGCAGCAAGAAAGTCCAGGGTTCGAATCCCAGTCTGCAGTCTATCTGCATCTACTATCTCGTCAAGCTCTTATGTTATAGCAAAGTAGCAAACTTATCTCTTAGCTTCAACCGGATGCATCAACTATTGACTTTGATAGAGCAATTTAAATTTGAGTAACATTTAACAAAAAAAAAGAAAATACTACCCATAGCAATAATCAGAAATATTAGCAAATATGCAATAATACTTAAAGATGCTCAACAAATACGAAGAAAAATAAATGGTCAACGTAAATAACACGATGTAGATTGAAGGAGCCGCAGTATCTGAACACACAAGGTAAACAAAAACAGCCTTTAGAGAATTACCGACAGGAAACTATTTAGAAACCATTTCTGGGTAAATCTAGAGGATCTGGTGTTTATGCTCTCTCCTGGGTGCCCCGTTTTTATGTTCCTCCACTTCCAGCTCGAGCACCATGCCACACATGTTAACATTAAGAAATGAACATGAGCATTGTACTAACTTTAAAATAAAGTCTTCATCAGAGAAAAGGAATTGAGATGTTTAAAGTGAACAAGCTGAAGTAAACTTCTGGCCTTACGTCCTCAACAGTGGCTCTATTCTATTTCGGTTTCACAAGCTATCGCTAATATGGTTTGCCAGACGTCTGCAACTCCAGTTCTTAAGGGCCGGTGTTCTGCAATTGTTAGATGTGTCCCTGGTCCAATGTAACCGAATCAAATGGCAGAATT